GCCAAACTCGCATCGTATGTTCCAAGACTCGTATTGAATAGTCAACCGAGGCCAATGATGGGCAATCGGTCATAACCGAGTGATGGATAATCGGCCCGATGTAATAGATATGGGAGATTTCATACTAAAGAATGTTGATCAAATGTAAGAATTTACTTTGTGTGCCACAATCCAGGATACATATCTCACAACCGCCCTCGAGGTGTAGAAACCGAGTTCGATAAGGGTACTCGCTTGGGTTTACATAATGACCCAAGAGAGACCGACAAGAGAGACACGGTATTAATTTATGGTAATGTCTCAATCCTTGGCTCGACTACTTATGTTTGATTGGTTCTAGTGCCACACACTCATATATATATCAAACACATTAGTAAAAAACCTATGTGTCAAACCCGAAACATTAGTAGTAGGATATCCGATAATAATCCCTTCTAGAGAACCTTATCGGATTTTGGAGACGAACCGCCAAACCCGACCCCGAAATTAACCTATAAGGAAGGATCGATTCGGATTCGAGATAGACGGAGTTAGGCAACTAAAAAATAAGGAGATTAGTCTAGTTAAAGTTTTATGAGAAAATTATGACCTCTAGAAATTGACTTGGGAACGAAAAGAAGAAATGAGAAACAAATACCCAAAACTATTTGCCTAAGTCAATTTCGAGGATGAAATTTCTTTTAAGGAGGGAAGAATTGTAACCCTTGTGAAAATCTTTAATCGTAAAGTGACGTGTATTAGAATATATATATATATATATACACACACACACACATATATTAAGTGTAAGTATAATTTTCATTACACCATGAGAAATTAATGCTTGCAATGTATGATTTATTTTAAATTAAAGTTATTGTGCTTGAGATTAATGGTTTAATTATTAAAGAAGCCAAATATGCAAAATCAATGTTTTGAGGACTATATTCTGTCCAAATTTTGTGTAATTTATTTGAGAACTTTAGAGTGATTTTTGGGTAAACCTTAAAGAATGAAAGTAGTTTTTCTATGTGTCTAATAGCTCTCTATAACATTTCATGATTTTTAGATCTCTACATAAAGCTTTATGGCCATTTTGGTATAGGTCTGGTTTTGAAGCATCACCGCTGGAATATTTTTAAGGGAAGAAAATTTTGAGTTTAGGGAGAGGGATTTCTAAAATTTAATGGAAAGAAATGTGTTTAGTTACTTGAACTAGATTAATTAGGGTGTTTATTTATCTAACTAATTAATTAGGATACCTAAACCCCCATAATTAATGAATTAAAGCCAAGTCATTCTAAACCTCTCAAACCCACCACCTCTCATGACTCACCAATAGCTTTCTACTCTCCCAAATAAAATTAAGACATTTGTACACTTAATTGATGCTGAGATTTTAAGAATGTATATATATAGAATAAGTGAGAATGGAAGAAAAATTTTAGGCAACCTATAGCTACACAAACAAGAGAGAAAAACGACAAGGAAAGAGAGGAAGAGAAAGGAAAGAAAAAAGAAAGAAAGAAAGGGAAAGGAAAAAAGAAAGCAAAGCCAAGGAAATTTTAACCATACCTAAGCTAAATAAGTGGGTTACCTTTTTCTTGTTTATACTAGTTATTTAATCTTTATGCAATTGACTAAACTTGTGTTTAGGTGGTGATATATTGTTATGATTGGTTGTGTTGATTGATTTACCTTACAATTCTTATTGGTATGGTTGGTTGTATTGATTGGTTGCGTTGGTTGCTTTCTAAAACTTAGAAAGCCTTGTATATGATTAAATTCATATTTGGGGAGATGTGAATGGTGGAATTGGGTTGACCAAAACATGGTGGGTGAATTTAGGACTTGTATAGACTTGAATAAAATGGAGAAGGAAGGAAAGAAAAATGAAATTTTAGGGTTCTTCTTAAGTAAACTTTTGGCCTAGAGAGTTACACGGTCTCCCATACGGGCCTGTCCTTGCCCGTGTCCCGAAGAAATGTGTTTTTCTTCAAGTCGGAGAGTTATACGGCCTCCCATACGGGCGTGTCCTTGCCCGTGTAATGAACAAATATGTTTTTCTTCAAGTTAGAGAGTTACGAGGCCTCCCATACAGGTGTGTCCTTGCCCATGTAATGAAGAAATGTGTTTTTCTTTTAGTCAAACGAGTTACACGACCTCACACATGAGTATGTCCTTGCTTGTGTAATTCACTAGTCACTCGAAATTCACTACTTTGGCTCCATACTTGTTTGGTTTCCATTCCTTTTCGCCAAGATAATGTAACTAATGGTCAATTAGGCTCTAATAGATAGAAAATGAAAGTAGAAAAGTATACCTTAATATGATTCAAATTTGGTGCAAATATTAATAATTATACAATTAAGTGTGCAACGATTTAATGATAAATATTACTAAAGGGAAAGAAAAGAGAAGTATTTACATCCATAATTAGACCCATGACTCAACTAATACCATTTGTCGGTATTTTATTTTAATGAGGGGAATATGATGATACGGAGTATGAGTATGCTCGAAACCCTATATGGGTCGGACCTATGAAAATATTTCATAACGGTAAGGGGTATGAATATGCCCGAAACCCTATTTGGGTTGGACCTATGAGAATATTTCATGATGATAAGGGGTATGAGTGTGCTCAAAACCCCGTGTGGGTTGGACCTATGAAAATATATGAAATCGAATCATGTATTGGTTGGATATGTTTAGTATGGTACACATAACATCACGTGCATCATGTGCATTACGGGGCGGATTGAGAAAAGTCAATGGATTGAGAATTGGTTTACAAGATTAGGTTTGGTAACCTAACGGGAATAAATGGGTATTAACGGTCCAAGTTTGTGTGCGTACTCTAAGTCGTGTGTCCGCACTTGTTAGACGATGGACTCCCGCTAATAAGTGGCTACTGATGAGGGATAATTACATTGTAGCAGAAGGTGATTTGATAATCACCTAGATTAAAAATAGAGTAGACTTGCTAATACCCAAGGTACCTCGAATTAAAATTGATGAGTATGGTGAAAAGTCAAAAAAGCATTGCATATCATGTGCATCACCCCACTTGCGAGCTTCGGCTCACCTTGTTGTTATTTGCATGTTATGACGAGTAGCGGTGATCGTAATACCGATAAGAACACCGTCGGATCCTCAAAAAGGGCTCGGGGGTGACACGAACCTTGGAAGATTTTATTTTGATTGTAATTCGGTGTTGGGGTGTTTGTAGATTTTTGAACGACACCGTAAATAAATTATAACTTCTACTGCTTGTGAATATTCTTGTAATGTAATTTTTGAATTATACATATTTTAATATGTAGTATGTTATTATGGTACCAACATGGACGTAGTAAGATTTAAGTCGGGCTGGACGTATCGATGTGACGCGCTCCTCGCCTAGCCACTCCTTTTGGATAATTGGCAAGTGGGTCGGGGAGGGGCGTCATATGCACTACAAGAGGTTATCCTTTACTTTTAGTTTATTATTCATGTATGTATGATTAGTAGATTCAACGACATGATCTTTGACCCTTAGATGAAGGAACATTTTTATTTTTTTCATACCTCCATATGATGCATGATCCTTTAAACTCCCGCCTTCTAAGCTCACGTGCCTCACCCCATAGCCGACTAGTGCCCATGTAGCAATAACATAGGCCACTTAGACACCTCCAGATCACCTATGCTAGTAGTCGCCTAACCGATCCGCGAGCCGGCCACCCGAGCAACCTCATTCTTTAAACCCAAGCTCGCACACTAGTCCCTTTAAAAAAAAAAAAGACTAAAAGAATAAAATAAAAAATCTTTTTGTTGTTGGTTGGTTTGTGTTTGTTTTGGTAGGAAAATACAAGCAACAAAAGTCATTTTGAGTTTTCAAAAAACTTTACAAAGTTTCGGGAACTTTGCCAATTTAAAGCAATTTTTGAAGTATTTGCACAAAAAACGAAGGAGTTTTTGGTCATTCTAGTGGGACCTATAACATATTTTACGAATAAGCGAGTCACTCTCCTTTTTTTACTAACCGAATAATCAATTTTCATCGAAAACGAAGAGAGTAAGACTAACTTCAAATCGGATGTTGAAATTATATGATTTTTGGATAAAAATTCTAAAACCACTATACTTTAAAAATATAATAAAATGACTAGATTGTTTAAAATGTGATTAAAATATGACATCTAATTTAAACATTCATAGATTAAATGTGGTTGAAATAAATATTCCTGTAATTAGCCATTCTAAACAAACTATACTATTTTACTTGTTTTATACGTGTTTGCCTAAATGCAAAGTTTATCTTGTTTTTGTGTGTGATTGACTACCTATGTCCGATTGTATGAATAAAAATATTGAATTTTATTTAAATACTCAGTTTAAATATAGATTAAAGTAAACATTGTTGTTATGGTCCTCAAAAGGACAAACTATATTGTTTTACTATTTTACATTTGCATGTCTAAATGAGAAGTTTGTATTGGTTTTTATCATTACTTTATGGTATAAATGTTGTGTTCAAGGTGCTGGTATGGGAAAGCAGACCGAAATACATAAGCCCATATATATACAACCAAATTGATGATCAGTAATTGTTTTGTTAGTGTCAGGAAGGAAAACAATTGAGCATAAAACCGAGAGGTTAACTTGGTTAACTCTTATATATAAGGTGTAAACATTCTCAGTTTTAAATAAAAGGTAGAAATTGAAAATTTAATCACTTAATAAATACCAAAAGTCCATAGATAATTGCACGAACTTCTCAAAAACATGCACTCGATTAATATTATTCACACTCGATTTTAAGAAATAATTAAGAGACCGTTCTTGAGCAATCCTGATGAAAAGCCATAATAAATATTATTCTAAAATGTCAACAATATTCTTTCAGTGTATATGGTGCCTGCCTCCTTGCTCAGGGTGCCATCCCTCAAATTATTATTTATTATAATTATAATTATAATCTGATCGATCGAAGAAGGAGATCATACACGTACGAACATTATACTAATCTTTCAAATTTAATTGGTGGGAGGGACAAGAATATCGGTCTTCTGCATATTGGACTTAAAGAGTTCTTCTAACTTTGGAGTCACACTTAGAGCAACTTGCGAAACTATTGGAGACAAAGCATTCCACACTGATTTCTTGCTCGCAAGATCTTCAACAACAGGGCTGCCATGAGAAAAAAAGAAAAATAATAATAAGCAACACAAGAATTGTATTGAAGTAAAATAATTATAGAATAGAACTCGCTTAAAAAGAATACTAGTTAATTTTTTTCCTATGATCAGCAAAAAAGACAAAAAAGAAAAAAAGAAAAAAGGAAAGAATATATATATATATATATATATATATTCTCCTTAGCTCTTATTCATTATTCTAATACTCTCTCTTCCTTTTTTTAATTAAATATTAATTAAATAAATAATTAAAAAATAAAATAGCAAGTAAAAAAATGAGTAATAACCGTCTACTCATTATAAAGTTCATCTTGATAATTTTTTTTAAAAAAATAATTTAGCATCCCTTTTAAGAAATACCAGTTTCTCTCTAGCATTGACAAAAAATATAAACAAGTTTTACCGCTTACAATAACAAGATACTAATTGTAATTTCGTGAATATCTAGAGAAAATTATTATCTAGCTAGTTTTATGCTATTTATGATTTCGTAAGTTAGCCATCTAGACTTGAAAATCATATTTTAATTCTTTGAACGAATTAATTACCTGTTAATTTTTTTAAAATGTCCAAGCTTTGTTTTAAATGCCCATTTGGCTATATTTGTATAGACAAAATTGGAAAATTTGATGAGAAAAAGGGCTTTTTAGGAAAAAAAAACAGAAATCGAAATAGAAAGCCAAAGCAGGAGGGGTTAAATTATAAACATGTATAAAAAACAGGGATTCAATATGAGATTTTTTTGCAATATATTAATTTAATTTACTCAAACGATAGGAACTGAACACTCATTGGATATCTACTATGATGAAAGAAATTGAAATTACCTTTTAGTTGTGAGAATAGAAACAAGCTCCATTCCTTCACTGCCAGCAATTTGAGCAACCACGAAGAATCTTGGCACAACAAGTAATTGGGCAGCTTCTATTTTGGTGTCCAGGACGAGCTTACCACCAATCCCTACAACTTGGACACAGCCACTGCCTTTAGCAACATAAAAAAGTTGAACCGAGCCATCGGCGGCGTATGATGGCGTGTACATGGCATTAGCTTCCAGTTTCACATAGTTAACACTTAAGCCTGCCTCTCCAAGAAAAGGAAATCTAGCTGCTGTCACTGTCTTAAATAAACCACCCCTTTTGACATCAACTTCAGCCAACGCAGCATCAATGTTGTATACCATTTTTTCAACAGATTCCTTGTTTGGTCGGGGCATGCTTATTCCTGGTTCTAGCTTAATGAGCAAAATTCCAGTTTGGCTTTTAGCAAGCTTATATGCTTCTTCTTCATTCATCTTATAAGCTCTACTAGTGAATTCTGTCGAGAACCCTCCCAGGATACCTTGGCCTCCACTTAAAAAGAAGTAGGTGAATTCTCCAGGAATGTGGGACTTGGAAGTTTCCCCTAAGAAAACTATAACAACTTCTTCTGAGTGATCTCCATTATTGTACCACCAGGACAGTGCTCCAAGAGGCACTGGTATGACTTCTCCTTTCTTAAGTTTTAACACCACCTCTTTTGACGAGTTTGGGAGCACCATTCCCACAATTCCATCACTACCTACAGGAACAAGATTATATATGAACAACCGAACAAGAAAGAAGTGTTTAGTTTTTGTTCTTTCGTTTATGAGTATGTGTGGATAACAGCAGGGGCGATGTGAGAAAAACTCAAAATAGTACAATTTTTTTTTTTTTGCCCAAACACTTGTATGAGAAAAATTTGTAAATCATCATTGTAGCAACCACACTAACAAACAAGCTCAAAAACTTTATCGCAACTTGTAGCATGAACAAGCAAAAATAAATAATAATATATAATAAAAACGTGTATACCTTTTCCATCTAAAAAAAGTAAAAACCATAATAAAAAAAAAGGAGGAGGAAAATAGCCAATAAACTAAAGCTCGATTATTACTAGGATCTTCTTTCGTCTACAGATTTCAAGTTCAAAACTCTTCGTTGTATTAAAAAAAAGAAAAAAAAAAGGGAATCGGTAAACTTACCTTGCAGAACATAGCCAATTTTAGCGGAATCGGCATAATGGGGAAGAGCAAAGCCACGAGGCCGAAGGACAAGTCTTCCTGCACCTACTTTTTGCTCTCCTAGCAGTGGAAATTCAGAACTCGACCAGCGGTAGTATGACCCCCCTTCTCCATCAAATAACTTTTGGGCTAACTTTGGCGATAAGTCGACATCCATGGATGCGATTTGTGCGAAACTTTCTTAAGCAGTTACTGTCAAACAAAAATAGATGAAGTAATTAGCTTTAAGTGAAACTAAAAGGACAGGAGAATTTTTGCCCTTAGCTATGTAGTTTTTCTCACAGACTGTTCTGGCTTGACAGCTGCTGTATATGTTATTGTAATACACACACATACATATATATACATATATACATACATATATATATATATACATACATATATATATATGTTCGAGAATATGGAGGTTGTGACATGTGGAGATCCAATCCAAATCACTTGTTGTGTCGTATAAGTAATATCCACCTCCAACCATGGATGCATTTGAATATGCAAACCACAGTTTCATTATTAATAAGTTAATTTTAAAAATGCCTAATTATAAAACCAAAAAAGGAAAAAAAAAAAAAAAGATGGAACCCATACCTAATTATATGGTGGATGAGAAATTCAACTGAGTATGGGCGACCACTCTTCCCTGTAAAGCAGACGGGTGGCTTGACTAAGCTATTAATTACATTAATTATTTTCCCATGCCATTCTTTCATATCCACATAGTCGGATATTCATTATCATCTCACAATTTTTGTTGGCAGTCGGCTCCCGAAAGCAAACAAAATAATATTGGAGTATATTTTCCTTCAATTTAAAGTCCTGGCATATGAAATTAGGAACCACACGGGTCCAATGTCCTCCTCATTTTTGCTAGTTCCAAGGGGCAGTGACGTGTCCTGCACGGCTTATCTATTTCATCGTCTTTTTTGACCCGTACGAGAAAAAAGAAGGAAAAATGGTTTGTGCTACTGTTTTGGAAAATACTTTGTTTTAACGGATCACGAAAAAGGCTTGCGAAAGCAAAAGATTCTGATCAAGAAGAGTAATTGAACCCATTAAAGGAGGGGGAGTCTAATTGGTAATAAAAAAAAAAACTATTTATATGCGGTATAATTACATTATAGGTATATTAATTTTTAATTTTGTTTTCAATCAAGTATATGAATTTTATTGTTCTTATTTGAATATACTAATTTTTTTAAAATTTTCAATCAAGTGTTTTTATCAATTTCTTTATTAAGTAATGATGTGGTCATTATCTTCAAAATACTAAATTATAATTTTATCATATTTTTCTTCAATCGAATACATAAATTTTTTTTGTTTAAATATATAATTTTTTTCAAAACTATAAATCAAGTATTTTCATTTATTTCTTTGCTAATTAATGATGTATTCATTATCCTTTAGATACTAAATTATAATTTTGTCTTTTTTTTTGTTTGATAAAATTTTTCCTCTAAATGCTCACAAATTCTCACAAGTAATGAATTTCGATTTAGCGTGTGAAACTATGAAAGTAAGATACAATTGAGAAGGAAAATGTCTTTGACATATTTTGATACATCTAGTTGTGAGTTGTGACGTTACTCGATATCAAACGGGACTCTAAAAATTTTTATTTTATTTTGGTAAGAATTATTTATGATTTTTATGATTTCTTAGGATATGAGTTATTATTGATTTTGGGAGTTGTCACCTAGTATTAAAGGAATAAAGAATCTAAAATAGGTACTAGTTTAGAGATTTTAGGATAAGAAGTTGGTTACATTTTTAGAAAGACATCAATCATAAAAAAAATGCTCTTTCCTAAGAAAGGTATCACATCTAGTTTAGTCGAAAAAATTATCCGAAGGTATTTTATTTGTACCAAATTATTTTCAATTTGCACTCAAAGTTTTATTTCCTAAGCCAATTGTTTTTTTGTTTTTTTTTGTTGCATCATATTGAACCGATCGTCGAACCCCTTCATTGCGAGACACCTCAATTCAACATCCGATTCAATTTAAGTCTCAACATATATGGTATATCGGAGCACCATTTAATTATTAAAGTGATTTATTTTGGCTTAATAACGTTTGCTCTTATTGGATAGGAGACTCGTTAAAATTGCTTAAAACATTTTCTTTCTTCCTTTTTTGGCATTGTTGTTTTTTTTTTTATATATTTTTTTATTATTGATTATTGGTTATTAGTGATGAATCGTCGTCAATTTCTAAAAATTAAGAGACTCGACAATTTGTTCACCAATCAATTATCTATCCTAATTCTTAACATAAAAACCTAATTAATTAAACATTTCAATTAAATGAACAAATAAATTCAAGGAAATTAAATTTAAGCTAGTCATGAAAATAAAAGCATATATTAAAAATAGATTTAGGCATGATTCACTAGGACAAAAGGCTAAAAATGGGATGATTGGGCCTCTTGAGCCTATTACGCTAGGCTCGGATTGGGGAAAGTTCTTTTTCTTCTTCTTCTTTATTCTTTACAGGTCGGGCTAACCCTAATTCAATTGATATTATTTTTGGGCTAGGCTAGACCGAGCCCATTTTCTTTCTCTTTTTTTTTCTCCTTTTCGGAGTTATGCTTGGACATAGCCACTATCCTCATTTCCCTCTTTCTTTCCAACCATATCCTTTTTTCCCTCTTTGTTTTTTCTTTTCTCTTCTTTCCTTTCTTTCCTTCTTCACTTCGGACCAATTGTCCAATTTATTACTGCCTTTAGGGCTTAATTTATTGATTGGAGATTTCATACGCTAATCAATTACAAATGATTTCTAAAAACTTACCTATTCCTTTATAGTTTACTCTTATAGGTTAGTTGGATGGATTTGAATCTTTGGATTCAATCCATGACAGATGACAATGTCAAGACCATTTTCCTTTAATCAAACGAGACTTGAACTAAAACTATTGAATATTATCTAAGAGTGTTTAAGATTACTTGAAAAAAGCTTAAATGATTGGAAGGAGATTAAAAAGCAGAGTAGGATCATTTTGCATTTCCCTTGCTTGCACGTGGTGGAGGATGATTAGTGGAATGATTTGGTGGTTGTTATGCAATCGAAGTTGATTATTTCTATGATCAAGGACTCATAATCTATTAAAAGAGTTAGCTTCTAGTGTTTCTCAAAACCAAAATACTTATAATACCTAAAAAAATCTAATATTTGTAAGTGATGAATGATGATTGATGAATGGATTTGGGTGATGATCGATCGAGTTGAGGTTTGTTCTTAGGATGATTAGAAACTAGCAAATATTTATAGGGGAATTCTTGGTGTTTGTTGAACCTATAAGACTTGAATAAATCTTAGAAAACCATGAACCTAAACCTAGAAACTTAAAGCCAAAAGTTCATCCCCAATCCGAACTTCGAGCGAAACCCAAGAAAAATCTAGAAACCTAAAAAAATCCCTTGATTCCTCTTTCTTTCACTCTTTACTCTTGATTCCTTTTTCTCTCTCTCGATCCCCCTCTCTTTGACCTCTAAACACTCTATTTATAACCAATTCTCTTGACCAATTTTATTTTTCCGTAAAATCTTTTCGTTCAAAAACCCTCTCTCTATTCCGTTATTCAATCTAACGTTCTTAATGCTCTTCAAATTATAGCATGACTTGTGAACCAAGGGTCCGGATTACTCGAGCTAGCTAAATGGATTTCATTTTTGTGAGAAAACCAGAATCAATCAAAAAACCATCTCCGGTTTTCAATTTATAAGAAACAATGAATGTTCATTCATTGTTTTGATCGTAAATGTGCAAAATAGTCCTCCTACTTTCTTGAATTTTTCAATCATAGCCTCTATTTTCTTTCAATTATGCCCTTAATTTATTTTAATTTTTATTCAATTTAGCTCTGTATTAACTTCCAATTTCGAATTGGTTTAATGCAATTATTCCCTTTGATCAATTTTTTTTAATTTTTTAATTTTTATTTTTTGTTTCATATTTTTTTATTTTTTTATTTTCTTTTAATAATAATGAGTCCTAAAATAAAATGCATAAATTGATAAAATAGAATAGCTAAAAATAAATAAAGAGTGAAATGAAGAAATGAAAAATAAAATAAACAACAAACTAAAATAACATATCGAAAAAAAGATAAGAATTAATTAAAAATAAAATTAAGGTGGATAAAATTATAGGAAAAAGTATAACTCAAAATTTAGATTATGATAGATACCCCATCTCTATAATACTCATGGTGCAAATCCTAGCTAAAGTGTGAACTTCGGTGTGGGTTTGCTTAGTGAGGTTGTAAAGACCAAAATAAAAGTGAAATTGTTGACAAAAATGTTTTGTTCGACATGATGGTTTGGTTTGTGAAATCAAAATGTAATGCATTAGCCTTATTGTTAAGGACAACATACTTTAAAGATTAAAATGCAATGACCTTTTTGTCAATGATGGTTTTGTCTTGAAAATTAAAATGAAATACAATGATCTTGTTGTTAAGAGTAGCATGTCTTGAAAATTAAAATGAAATACAATGGTTTCATTGTCAAAGGCAACCGACTCGAAAATAAAATGCAATGTGATGGCCTTATTGTCAAGGATAGCCAAAACCTAAAAAATAAAATGCAATGTGATGGCCTTATTGTTAAGAGCAGCCCACGTTGAAAAATAAATGCAATGTGATGATCTTATTATCAAGGGTAGCCTACCTTGGAAAATAAAATGCAATGTGATGCCCTTGTTGTTAAGGGCGACCTATCCTGGAAAATAAAATACAATGGGATGGTCTTGTTATCAAGGACAACCTATCTACAAAAATAAAATGCAATGCAATGGCCTAGTTGCCAAGGATAGCTTATCTTGAAAAATAAAATGCAATGCGATGGCCTTGTTGTCAAGGATAACCAATCCTAAAAAATAAAATGTATTGACTACTAGGCAACCCTTCCTAAAATGATAACCCGAGTTAGGAAACCATGCCTAAAAGTGATAATTGATTGTTTAAGTTTACACTTGGGTGATAGTCTATTGTGAGGCAACCTTGCTTAAAGTGAATTTATGAAATGTGTTTCTTCACCATTTCTTTAGAATCTCTTTATTTAGGACTTATTATAAATTTTATCCTTGCTTTGATTTTGTGATGTTCCCGAAACAAGACTTGACATGATGGTTAGTTAAGGTACTGTAAGAAATATAA